TCCTAGCTGTGCTCCCTCCCAGCTTGTTATGCACCTGGCCGAGCAGGAGAAGCTCAAAAAGTCCTTGAGTAGCCTGAGCACTACTTGGCAACAGCTGAAAACATCAGTGTGTTATCAACATTCTTCTGGTACTAAATCCAAAACACAGCACTATGCTAGCTTCTACGAAGAAAATTAACTCTATCCCAGCCGAAACCAGGACAGTCTTCTGCTTTCTGCATTGAAGCACTTTTGCTCTCATGTCAGCCAAAGGCTGATGGACAAGTCTCCACGTGGCTGCTGAAATACCGCAGCCATTCTTGCATACTTTTTGCAGCAGCCCTCGTTGCGCACTTTTTGTCCGCCTTCACATTTATGTCTGTTCCTGCTGCGTGTGTTACAGCAGCCCTTGCCACCCCAGCAGAGACTGCTGTGTCCGTACGGAAACGCAGAGCATTTGGACTGACTTTGTGGCCAAGCAAGACGTAAATGCGGGTCTCTGGTGTCATCCCAGGCCCAGCCACCATGTTGTTATGCACAAAAAATTAGGTTTCATCCCTGCCGTACATGAAATATTTTCTGAATTTGGAAAGGGAAACCAGAGAGGTGCATATGAGAAAAAGTGGGGTTTGCACTTCACAGGGTGGAGTACATGAGGAGCAAAGAGGTTTGCGAGTAGCAAAAAGGATGCTTCACTGCACTTGGGGTGTTTTTTGTGGGAATATGTTCTCCCTTTTCATGTTTGTATTTGAAGACTTAGATCTTGGCCAAGAAGGCCAATGGCATCCTGGCCTGTATCAAAAATACTGTGACCACTAGGAGTAGGGAAGTGATCGTGCCCCTGTACTCAGCACTGATGAGGCCGCACCTCAAATGCTGTGTTCAGTTTTGGGCCCTTCACTACAAGAAAGATGTTGCATTGCTGGAACCTGTCCAGAGGAGAGGCAACCAAGCTGGTGAGGGGTCTGGAACACAAGTCACATGAGGAGTGGCTGAGGGAACTGGGGTTATTTAGTCTGGAGAAGAGGAGGCTGAGGGGAGACCTGATCACCCTCTACAACTGCCTGACAGGAGGCTGTAGTGAGGTGGGGGTCGGCCTCTTCTCCCTGGTAACAGATGAT